CTTAAATGCCCCTAATGAGGCCGACTCCACTACCCTCTCCAGCAATGTATTCCACGCCCCGACCACTCTCTGAGTAAAAGACCTACCTCTGATGTCTCCCCTATATCTACCTCCACTCACTTTAAAACTATAGCCCGTCATAATAGCAACCTCCACCCTCGGAAAAAGTCTCTGGCTGTCTACTCTATCTATATCTCTGATCATTTTGTACACCTCTATCAAGTCACCTCTCATCCTTCGTCGTTCTAAAGAGAAAAGCCCCAGCTCTCTCAACCTTTCCTCGTAAGACCTTCCCTCCATTCCAGGCAACATCTTGGTAAATCTCCTCTGCACCTTTTCCAATGCTTCCACATCTTTCCTGTAATGAGGCGACCAGAACTGGACACAATACTCCAGATGTGGCCAAACCAGGCTTCCATATAGCTGGAGCATAACTTCATGGCTCTTGAACTCAATCCCTCTATTAATGAAAGCTAACACACCATACGCCTTCTTAACAACTCTATCCACCTGGGTGGCAGCTTTCAGGGAACTATGGACATGAACCCCAAGATCCCTCTGCTCCTCCACACTGCCAAGAATCTTTCCCTTAACCCTGTATTCTGCTTTCAAGTTTGGCCTTCCAAAATGAATCACCTCACACTTTTCAGGGTTAAACTCCATCTGCCACTTCTCAGCCCAGCTCTGCATCCTATCAATGTCCCTTTGTAACCTAGAACAGCCTCCGTACTGTCCACAACTCAACCCACCTTCGTATCGTCCACGAACTTACTAATTCACCTTTCCGCTCCTTCATCCAAATCATTTACAAAAATCACAAATAGAAGAGGACCCAGAACAGATCCCTGTGGTACACCACTCGTAACTGAGCACCATGTTGAGTATTTTCCATCCACTACCACCCTTTGTCTTCTAAGGGTCAGCCAATTCTGAATCCAATCTACCACATTTCCCCCTATCCCATGCCTCCTTACCTTCTGCATGAGCCTACCATGGGGAACCTTATCAAACGCCTTACTTAAATCCATGTATACCAAATCCACTGCTCTACCTTCATCCACATGTTTGGTCACCTCTTCAAAGGATTCAATAAAGTTTGTGAGGCATGATCTACCCCTCACAAATCCATGCTGACTATTACGAATCAAACTGTGCCTTTCCAACTGATCATAAATCCTATCACTCAGAGCCCTTTCCAAAAACTTTCCCACCACTGACGTAAGACTAATTGGCCTGTAATTTCCAGGGTTATCCCTATTCCCTTCTTTGAACAAGGGAATGACATTTGCCTCTCTCCACTCTTCCGCCACTATACCCGTAGACAGCGAGGGTGAGAAGATCATCGCCAAAGGCCCTGCGATCTCTTCTCTTGCTTCCCATAGAATGCTTGGATAAATCCCATCAGGCCCAGGGGACTTATCTATCTTCAAGTTCCTCAGAATTCCTAGTACATCTTCCTTACTAACATTGACCTCCTCTTGCCTACCAGCCTGTTTCACACTGTCTTCCTCTACAACTAGGTCCCTCTCAGTTGCGAATACCGAAGAAAAGTATTCATTAAGGACCTCTCCTATCTCTTTAGGCTCCTTGCAAAAATCCCCTTTACAATCCTTGATCAGCCCTACCCTTTCTCTGGTCATTCTCTTATTCCTCACGTATGTGTAAAAAGCCTTGGAGTTTTCCTTGATCCTATCTGCCAAGGTTTTCTCATGCCCCCTTATAGCTCTCCTAAGCCCTTTCTTCAGCTCCTTCCTGGATAACTTGTATCCCTCTAGAGCCTTTTCCGTTCCTTGTTTCCTAAACCTTACATAAGCATCCTTCTTCCTCTTAACCAGTCGTTCAACCTCTCTTGAGAACCATGGCTCCCTCACTCGACTGCATCTTCCCTGCCTGCTAAGGACAAACATATCGAGCACACGCAGCATGCATTCTTTAAACAATCTCCACATTTCAATAGAGCTCTTCCCTGACAGCATCTGTTCCCATTTTATGTTACCCAGTTCTTGCCTAACAGAATTGTAATTACCCTTCCCCCAATTATAAACCTTACCCTGCTGTATGTACCTATCCTTTTCCATGACTATTGTAAAAGTAACAGAGTTATGATCGCTACCGCCAAAATGCTCTCCTACCAACAGGTCTAACACTTGGCCCGGTTCATTGCCAAGCACCAAATCCAAAGTGGCCTCTCCTCGTGTTGGTCTATCTACATACTGTGTCAGGAATCGTTCCTGAACACACTGTACAAAATCCGCTCCATCTAAACTATTACAACTAAAAAGTTTCCAATCAATATTTGGAAAGTTGAAGTCACCCACGACTACAACCCTGTGACTTCTGCATCTTTCCAGTATCTGCCTCCCAATCCACTCCTCCACTTCTCTGCAACTATTAGGGGGTCTTGTTCCTGACCTCAACCCAAACTGACTCTGTAGACATATCATTCTCAAACTGCCTTTCAGTAGCTGCTATACTAGACCTGACTAGCAATGCCACTGCCCTGCCTCTTTTCCTTTTCTTTTAAAGCATCTGAATCCCAGAACTTCCAACAACCATTCCTGTCCCTGAGTTACCCAAGTTTCTGGAATGGCCACAACATCGTAGTTCCAAGTACTGACCCATGCTCTAAGTTCATTCGCCTTATTTCTGACACTTCTAGCATTGAAGTATACACAACTCAAACCATCTCTGTGTCCACAATTATGCTCCATCGACCGCATTTCTTTATTAACAACCTCACTCCCTGTTGTGTCTGTTGGTAATATATTTCCAATTCAGGATAATGAGTGGCTTGAAGGGCTACTTGGAGGTGGTAGTGTTCCATGCATCTGCTGCCCATATCCTTCTACATGGAAGTGGTCTCGGATTTGGAAGGCGCTGTCAGAAGGATCTTGAGCGATGTTCTGCAGTGCATCCTGTAAATGGTACACACTGTTGGTGAGTGTCAGTGGTGGAGGTAGTGGATGTTTGTGGATATGGTGCCAATCAACTGGGCTGCTTTGTCCTGGATGATGTCCATCTTTTTGAAGGTTTTGGGAGCTGCATTCATCCAAGTAAGTGGAAAGCATTCTATCAAACTCCAGACTTGTGCCTTGTAGATGGTGGACAGGCTTTGGGAAATCAGGAGGTGGGTTCTGCTGCAGTATTCCTAACTTCTGACCTGTTTTTGTAGCCAATGCGTTTACGTGGCATGTTCCAGTTGAGTTTCTGGTCAATGGTAACTCCCAGGATTTTGATAGTGGGGGATTCAGTGATGGTAACGCCAATGAATATCAAGGTGTGGTGGTTATATTGGATGTTATTGAAAATTATCATTATCTGGCATTTGTATGCGGCAAATGTTATGTGCTATTTGTCAGCCCAAGCCTGTATATTTTCCAAGTCTTGTTACACTTTAACATGAACTGCTTTAGTGTGTTGCAGCTGATCTGCATCATCAGCGAACATCCCCACTTCTGACCTTATGATGAAAGGAAGATCATTAATGAAGCAGCTGAATAAGGCTGGGCCTGGGATATTACTGTGAGGAACTCAAGCTGAGATATCTTGGAGCTGAGATGACTGGCCTCCAACAAACATAATCATCTTCCTATGTGCCAGGTCTGACTTCAACCAGTGGAGAGTTTGCCCCCAGTTCCCATTGATTCCAGTTTTGCTAAGGCTCCTTGATGCCGCACTTGGTTGAATACAGTCTTGATGTCAAGGGCTATCACTCTTTTGCAACGACATGGTGGGCTCTTTCATTGTTGAAGATAGGAATATTTGTGGAGACTCCTCACCAGTGAGTTGTTCAACTGTCCACCACCATTCACTACAGGATATGGCAGGACTGCAGAGGTTAGATTTGATCCATTTGTGTGGGATCACTTAACTCTGTCAATCACACACTGCTTTATAGTCAATTTTTGGTCAAAGCATTACATTGATGTTTGAAATGTTATCCTTATAAACTGTCTTACCTGTTTACATGATTAGTGAATTGAAAGCACCTGTCTAAATACAACCATGTATATCTGCTTGAGATCATTTTTATTTTTTGAAAAAGGGGAAGTTGTGTTGTGTCTTAATGTCACTATGGCAGTATGCCTTTAAGAGAAATGGTCATGATATCATCACAGCATGTGACCTAAGGATGTAATAATCTCACACTTCACCTTACCTTGGATCACTTGAAGCATGACACTTTATTGGCAGCACTGTTACCTGATAGAGTAATATTAGTTCAGATGCTTAAGTGCTATCTGTTGGATTCTTCAATACCATCATATCCAACCCAGATTCTTATGTCATGGAAATAACATAAGCATTGTTGCATTGAATAAAAACATCCGTTAGATACAACTCACATCAAAATTTATTTAAACTATCTGCACAACCTAAAAAGAATAAGTTCAATTCAAAACATTCAGCTGAAAAACGTATGTAACACAATTTCACAAATTTAAAATAAACAAAAATTTGAATGAGTTGCAAATAAGTAAGACCAAGAGGCCAAATAAGTGGGAGTGTTTAAAAAGCACAGCTTTCAGAATAAATGACAGAAATACACAAATAGATGTTCTGAAAATGCATAGTGGCACACTGATGGAGATAACATTGTATATTAACAGTTACAGTAATTGTTATCCTGATTTGGCAAGAATTAGAACTGTTTGAGAGTTTTGTATGTTACAAGGCTAAGGTAATAGACGCCACAGAAATTAATTAGTAATGTTGCTGAGTTCTCGATCTCAAAGGTATCCCTGTAATAAACTTTGGGGTGAAAGACAAGAGCCTTTCCATAGATGCACAGAAAGTGAGTGACAACTGTTATTGTCTGCTGTCTACTTTCTAGCACCATCTAAAAGTAGCATTTGTAGAGCTCTTGGGTCAGTGGCCTTATTTCCAAATAAATAATTGGCATGTGCAGTAGGAAACAGCCAAAGGTTCAGATTTTTCACTTAAAAACAAAGAACCACTGATGATATAAACATTATTGTAATGATTAAATTAAGGCTTACCCACTTGTTGCAGACAAAAATACACCGATGGCTTGTAACTGTTCAGTTACACAGGTACCAACCATGTAGCTGTTCAAAGAAGTTAAGTACTTCAGAAAATATTGATCATTCACCTGCTTTAAGGCACAACACAGCAATGGTTCCAACTTCCAGAAAAAGAAATAAAACACACATTTCTAATTTATGAATAATTAAAGAAATGAAGATAGTAAATTATTTTAAAGACTCTGCAATAGTTAGATTTTCCAAGAGTAGAAGCAGGATACATAGGAGAAGTACATAAATATTTTATTTTATGCTCTCTATCTCTCTGAAACTTGAGTGTTAGATACATAAACAGAAATTCTTGGAGGAACTCAGCAGGTCTGGCAGTATCTGTGGGGAGAAAGCAGAGTCAACGTTTCGAGTTTGGTGACTCTGAATCACAGTGATAGGCAACTGCAGCTCCTGCGATAATCAACCTGAAGCCCTCCATAATATTGTCTTTGCTAATTCTTTTCAACTTCCCATTGTAGATCTAAAAGAATGACAAAAGCAGATGAGAGCAGAGGGTGGTGGTACAGGGTTGCTTTTTGGACTAGAGGCCTTTGACCAGCAGTGTGTCACAAGGATCGATGCGCGGTTAGTAAGGTTGCAGATGAAACCAAAATAGGTGGTGTGGTGGACAGTGAAGAAGATTATTTCAAGTACAATGGAACTTCGATCAAATGGCCAATGGGGCAGGATTGGCCCATGGAGTTTAATTTGGAAAAATGCGAGGTGTTGCATTTTGATAAGAAAAACCAGGTCAGGACTTATATGAGTAATGGTAGAGCCGTGGGGACTATTGTCAAACAAAGAGATCTAGAGTTGCAGGTGCATAGTTCCTGAGAAGTGAAGTTGCAGTTAGACAGGGTGGTGAAGAAGCATTTGACATGCTTATCTTCATTGGTCAGAACAGTCAATAAAGGAGTTAGGAGGCCTTGTTGTGGCTGTACAGGACGTTGGTAAGGCCGCTTTTATTGTACTGCATATAATTCTAATCACGCTTCTATAGAATGTTGTCGAGTGCACAAAAAATTTACATAGACGTTGCTGGGACTGGAGGGTTTGTGTTATAGGGAGAGTCTGAATAGGCTGGGTCTTTTCTTCCTGGAGCATCGGAGGCTGAGGGGTGACCTTATACAGGTTTATAAAACCATGAGGTGCACGGATAGGGTGAATGGCCAAAGTCTTTTTCCTAGGGTGGGGGGAGTCCAAAACTATAGAGCATAAGTTCAAGGTGAGAGGGGAAAAATTTAAAAAGGACCTGCAGAATAACTTTTTCAAGCAGAGGGTGGTGCGTATATGCCAGATGAAGTGGTGGAGGCAGGTACAATTACAACATTTAGAAAGTACCTGTATCGGTCTATGAATAGGAAGGGTTTGGAGGGATTTGGGGCAAATGCGGCTAGGTCAGATTAGGATGTCTGGTGAGCAGAGACAAGTTGGATCAAAGGATCTGTTTCCATGCTGTATGACTCTATGACTCTGAGAAAAAAAAACGACTGCAGAGATAAATTGGAAGAAAAACAACAAGAAGCAACGCAGGCTCTGCTGAAGAGAGAAAAGGGGCATTGTTTCCTTTCCTGTCAGCTGTGCAAATGCTGTATTCAGGATCTGGCAACAGGGAAATTTGAGGATGTTGCAGCTGCTTCTTTTTACTCAAAGCACCTGATTGATCAGAAGTGGACATGTAGTACACATGGCTGTCACTGAGAGTTCAGATAAAGGTGTTCTATTAAATTCACGCCATCAAGATTATTGTGAGCAGTGCTGAGGAGATTCTGTCAACTTCCATCCCTAATAATAAAGTGCAGCATTTTCCAAACATCTGATGTCACACTAACTGGCTTATGATTCTATGTTTTCTCTCCTTCTCCTTTCACAAATAGTGGAATCACATTTCCTAACACAAGACTCATTCTAGCATCTAGGGAATTCTGGAAAATCAAAACTAATCTACCACTATTTCTGTAGCCAACTCTTAAAATGCTAGGTTATGCATCATCAGACCCAGAATATTATTCGGCTTGAAGTCCCAATAATTTCTCCGGTGCTATTTCTTTACAAATATTCATAAATTATTCACTTTTACTAGAACAGATTTCCCACAACTCTGGAATCTTTTTTGTGCCTGCTACCATGAAGCCAGATGCCATTTCCTCATGTCCCACTATAATGTCTCCCATCTCTCCCAGCAGGGATTCACATTTATTCTCACTATTCTCTCTCTTTTTACATATCTGTAGAAGCTATTACAAACTGTTTTTATGTTTCCTGTTAGTTTACTCCAATGTTCCAGTTTGTCTTTGTCTCTCAACTTCTTTGTCATACTTTGCAGAATTTTAAAATACTCCCAATCCCTATTATATTTTCAGTTACATTAAAGTCTCTTCCTTTAGTCCATCAATTACTCTTAAGGTGTTGTTGGCCATGGTTGGATTACCTTCCCAATTGAATTTTTAATCCTTAAGCAAATGTGTTATTATTAATTATTAATTGCTAATTAGAGATTTTTAAAAAATTATCCTTGTCTACCTACTATAATATTTCTTTACCTTTTTTACCTATGTACTTGAACCAACTTTTCCCTCACTCATACATTTACTTTGCTCAGATTAAAAGCATTAATTTCAGACTTAGCTTTCAAATTCTCAAACTTAATTGAAAATTCATAAAAGATCACAGAATCCCTACAGTGTGGAAACAAGCCTTTCGGCCAAACAAGTCCACACAGACCCTTGGAGCATCCTGCCCCGAGCCATTCCCCCTAAAACCTACCTAACTTACACATCCCTGAACACTATGCGCAATTTAGCATGGCCAGTCCAGCTAGCCTGCACATCCTTGGACTGTGGGAGGAAACCGGAGCACCCGGAGGAAACCCACGCAGACACGCGGAGAATGTGCAAACTCCACACAGACAGTCGCCTGCGGGTGGGATCAACCTCCGGTCCCTGGTGCTGTGAGGCAGCGGTGCTAACCACTGAGCCACCATGTTGCCTAACCACTGAGCCACCGTGCCGCCCAACCATTGAGCCACTATGCTGCCCATGTTCTTTCATATTATGATCATCCTTCCCCAAAGGCTCCTTTATTACAAGATTATTAATTAATATTGAATTCTTGTCAGCAAAAGGTCCAAATTTACAATTCTAATTCACTTATTCAAAACCTCCAGTGCCTCAACCCTCTCTATAAGCCTCCAAGAACACAGAGTTCCTCCAACTCAAACCTCTCTGCCTTCACTCTACAAATGGGCAATAATTCCTTAACTTGTCTAGTTTCTATACTCAGGAATTCCTGTCCAAACTCAGCTTCTCTACTTGCCTTCTTCACATCCTTTATAAATCTTTCCCCCCTCACCTTAAATCTATGCCCTCTAGTGTTGGACTCCCCCACCCTAAGAAAAAGACCTTGGCTATTCACCCTGACCATGTCCTTCGTGGTTTTATAAGCCTCTATAAAGTCATGCCTCAGCCTCCGATGCTCCAGGCAACAAAAGCACCAGCCTATTCAGCCTCTCCCACAACTCAAATCCTCCAGTCCTGGCAACATCCTTGCAAATCTTTCCTGCACTCAGCAACATCCTTCCTATAAAAGGGCGATCAGAATTGTACGCAGTATTCTGCGTGTTAAATAATCTTTTTAAAACCCAATTATTTAACTCCAGTGATCCTCTTGCAGAAATGGCCCTGAAATGTTGCCTCCGCTTTCTGTCCACAGATGCTGCCAAATCTGCTGAGTTTCTCCAGCAATTTGTTTTCGTTTCAGATTTCCAGCATTCCCAGTTCTGTTTTTTCCTTTAACCAAGCATTTGGTCATTCTTGCTTTAGACTTTTCTCAGATTATCATATACTATAGAGGGAGACCATTCTGCCAATCATGTCTGTACCACCTTCCACAATTCTGCCTATTCCCCATAATAAATATTTTCTTTGCAAGTATACGCCTAATGTTGTTTCAAAGTTACTGTTCAATCTTCCATCACCCTTACAGGCTGTGTCCGATAATTTCATGTCAAATTCAGACTACAATAGTCAAATCAAAATATACTCCTTTAAGAGAGACAAAAGTTCTATAATAGCATACTGTTGTCCATTATTTCCCTCACTGATGTTCATTGAATTATTTATAAGTTAAGAAATATTCCCCACAATTTGATAGAAAACAGATGTTAAATTCAGTCTAAAGAAAAGGATACGTTAATCTGAGCCATGCCGTCAATCTTGTGAGAAACAAACTGGCACCTTGAGCAAACTGTAGTTCCAGCTCTGGACCAGTTTTACCTTTATTTGTATTTATGAAGTCATTCAACATACGATGTCGGACAGCTTTGGTGCCATTGTCCCACTCCTGTAGAAAACTCATCAGTCCAGAAATTTCCACTTCTTCTTTCGATGAAGCCATTTTCAGAATTTAATTAATCTCGTCAGCTAAGGGGGAAGAAATGGTTAATGTCATATAACAGGCCACACATGGATGCAGATTTAACTGGGGCTGTATGAGTAAGATGAGGTGAGGTGGGCGGATGGTCTTAATCAGAAAAGAGCTGCAATCTCAATTTTCTGATGTCAGGTTGAGTCTGAGAAATTCATAGCAGCATGTTAATGATGCAGCAACCATCACATTGCCTGATGGGGGAGAATCTATTTGTCATGCCGGGAATACTTATTAAAGGAGAACTAAGTAGGACTGAAGTCGATGGCACACAGGAAACCTGTGTTTCCTGATGACTTAAAAGGTGGCATGCATTGAGCAGGGTTCTTCAATTTTTACATCTGAGGTGAGATTTTATTTTTGTCTTTTCAGCAGCATGGGGAGGGGTGTAAGAGAAACTGGATGATATGGTAGCACCAAGGACAAGAGACAGGGTTGGATTGGGGTATTGACAGTTGCGTTCTCAATTGGCAGTACAGAAGGACACTGACACATGTGGATGCAGCAAGTGGAAGGAAGTGTCAGGCTCCATTTTATTCAGCAGGGTCCATCACTGAGAATATCAGAGCTTGTATATCCAACTGAGAGGCAGCTGTGCCATACATAGCAGATCTAGAGTAAAATATGAAATATCAATCTTCAGGCAGAGCACATGTCGGTTCTCTGAGGGAGGTTCAAGTGATAGCAAGAGTAGGCTAAGGATAACGGAGTAAGACTTCAGGATTATAGTAGGATGTCAAGGGTGGGGTATAGGAGGCAAAGAAAATAGACAGTAAGAGATAGGAGTTCAAGGATTAATGGCTGTGAGTCAAGGATAAAGGGACTCTGATATGTGGGAAGCTTTCAAAAGTATGATAACAAGAATACAAAGTCATTGTATTCCTGTTAAGAGTGGAAGGTAAGGCTGGTAGGTTTAGAGACATTGGACGAATAAAGACAATGAGGTGCTAGTCAAGAATAAAAAAATTCATTTATTAGATATAAACAATTGGGTTCAAATGAATTTCTTGAACAGTACAAAGAGTGGAGGGGCATTCTTAAGAGGGAGATCAGGAAGGCAAAGACAGGATATGAGATAGCCTTGGCAAATAAGATTAAGAACAACCCAAAGAGGCTCTACAAGTATATTAAGAGCAAGAGAGCAACTAGACAGAGAGTAGGGCCCCTTAAAGATCAAAGAGATCATCTTTCTGTTGAACCTCAGGAGATGGAAGAGATATTAAATGACTATTTAGCATCAGTTTTTACTGAGGAGAAAGAAATGGAGGGCACAGAACTCAGGGAGATAAATATTGACACTTTGAAAACAATTCACATTACAGACAAAGCACTGCTGGAGGTCTTAGAAAGTATAATGGTGGATAAATCTCCCAGACTTGATGTTGTGTATCTCAGGACTTTGTGGCAAGTTAGGGAGGAAATTGCTGGATCCCTTGCAGAAATATTTGTATCATCTATAAATACGGGTGAGGTGCTGAATGACTGGAGAGTGACTAATGTTGTGCCTTTGTTTAAGAAAGGATGTAAGCAGGCGCCTAGGAACTATAGATCCATGAGTCTCACTTTGGTGGTGGTTAAGTTGTTGGAGGGGATTCTGAAAGATAGGATTAAATGCATTTGGAGAGGCAAGGAATGATTGGGGATAGTCAGCATGGCTTTGTGCAAGGGAAATCATGTATCACAAACTTGATTGAGTTTTTTTGATGAATTAATATTGATGAGAGCAGAGCAGTAGACATTCTTTATTTAGAGTTTAGAAAACCCTTTGACAAGGTTCCACATGGTAGACTAATTACTAAAGTTAGATCACATGGGATCCAAGGTGAACGTGCCAATTGGATATAAAATTGGCCTAACGGCAGGAGATAGACAATGACAGCGTAAGATTGTTTTTTGGACTGGAGGCTTGAGACTAGCCATGTTCCACAGGGATCGGTGCTGGGTCTACATTTGCTTGTCATTTCTATCAATGATTTTGTTGAGAATATAGAAAGCATGGTCAGTATGTGGATTACACCAATTGGTGGTATAGTGGACAGTGAAGAAGGTTATCTACAGATTACAATGAGATCTTGAACAATTGGGTCAATGGGTTGAAGAGTGGCAAATGAAGGTTAATTTGGATAAATGCGAGGTATTGCATTTTGGTGAAACAAACAGAGTTAAGACTTATACAATTAAAAGTACGGCCTTGGACAGTGTTGTAAACTTAGAGACCTAGGGGTTCAGGTACATAATTCTTTGAAGTTTGCATCACAGATAGATAGGCATGCTTACCTTCATTGCTCAGACTTTTGGGAAAGCAGTTGGTACATTATGCTGGGGTTGTACAGAACGTTGTGCTGCTTCTGGAGTACTGTGTTCAGACCTGGTCTCCCTGTTATAGGAAGGATATTATTAAGCTGGAGGGGGTTAAGAAGAGATTTACTGGTATGTTGCCGGGAATGGAGTGTTGGAGTTATAAGGTGAGCCTGGACAGGCTGGGACTTCTTTCACCGGAGAGATGGCCTGATAGAGGTTTATGAAGCAATGAGGGGTATAGGTTAATAGCAGGTATCTTTTCCTTAGGGTGGGGATTTCAATACTAGGAGGTATATTTTTAAGGTGAGAGGAGAAAGATTTTAAAAAGACATGACGGCAAATTTTTTTTATATACAGAGAGTGGTTCATGTGTGGAATGACCTTCCAGAGGAAATGATGGATATGGGTACAGTTACAACGTTTAAAAGACATTTAGATAAGTACATGAATAAGAAATGTTTGGAAGGATATGGGCAAAGCGCAGGCTGGTGGGGCTAGTTTGGTTTGGGATTACGGTTGGCATACTCAATTGTCTGAGCAATGAACTCTGCTCCTATTTTATATATTTCCATGAGGACTTCTACCATTGAAGAAGCACCAAGCTGAGAGATTCCCTCTCCAACATTTTAAAATATTAAATAATAAACCAGTCCATACTGTGGAGGGACATGTCCTTCACATGGTAGCTTCCAGCTAAGAGCTGATGAAGACTGGTAGGGAGAGCCCTAGGTCTGCCACCTCCAAGCAGTTAGCCTGTTCCACAAAGCTCCAGTCAGCCTCTGAAAGTTGGTCTTAACATGCCTGAATGGTCTCAGCAAATAGCCCCTTGCAGCAGGTTGTTCTGCTGCAGCCATTCTCCCACAGCCTGATTCAGGGAAATGAGGTGGGCATTGTCCGCGATTGCAGTGTGACCCGCCCATCTCTCTGCTTATCTGCATCTGTATCTCATAGTTCTTCTCCCAGTCCAGCAAATCTCAGGTGGGCAATGCCCAACACCTTTTATTTAGTTAATGTTGTGGATTTGCTAATGCTCATACATTCAATATTTTTGCAACCTTGCGTGATGGAAGAGAGGCTTTACAAGAGGTGGGTTGCGATTGCACAACAGTATAGGCCACAAGATCATCAGCCAGCACCAGTCGACAGGGAGAAAGATCAAGACGAAGGCAACCAGGGCAATCGTTGTCACCAAAGAGCATTGGAGTGCAAGTGCATTTCAGAAAGAGCTGCTACTATCTTCAAGTGCCTGACATGCAATGCCAGAGATGGCTGGGGTTTAACCAGGTGGTCACTAACCTCTGTGCACTCCTTTAACAAGACCTGCAAACCCGTGGTTTTAGAGGGAGCTTGATACCAGTCATCCTCATGATGACTGTAGCTCTAAATTTCAGGGACAGATCATTCTAGAGATCCACGAGAGGCATGTGGCATTTCCCAGGCTGTAATAATTGACGTATAAGAGATATGATCAATGCCCAGTTCAAATGAATCAAATAACTTATTCAATTCTCATCACATCAGATACTGATAGCCAGGCTGCAAGAGGCCACTGGCTTCAGCAGTATACACTTCCTACAACACAGTGTGTAATTGACTGCACTCAGGTTACTATTAGAGCTCTCTGGGAACCCAGCTC